AGGGGATTAGGGGGGGGGGGCGAAAAAATCCGTGTCCGAACTGAGACTCGAACCCGGACTTTCTGCATCGGAGACAAGCGCACTTACCGCTACGCAACCGCACCCTCAGACTATAAAAATATATTGACCTAAAAATAACTGACCGGGCTCCCCCCGCCAGCCAGCACTTCGCGGAGCAAAATCTATAATTAGTCTTTACTAATCAGTCAATACAATCAATAACGGGAAAGCATGGACGGACATGCGTGTAGGCCCTATCTATCCTTACTTTTTGTTCCGCACGACAGCGCATTGTACAGAGCTCTCTGTGAAGTCGTCCAGCCCATTGGTAAATGTATAATTTACGATTTCTGGTCCCAGCCTGCTAGATCTATATTTAGAACCTGACGACGTCTCCTCGTCGTCTGCCAGAAGCAAGCCAAGGCCTGAGACCGTCAAAGTACGAGTAGATCTAAGCTTATTTATAAACATAGACCAAGGGAAGGTATTACTCCAACGATCCTAGATAGACATAATATCTATCAACGTAGCCAACTGGATGTTGCACCACTAGGCAGAAATGCCGGGCTCCTGTCAGACAGACGTTCGTTGAATAAAAAGCTCACCTGACCTCAGTGTTATTGAGTTCTGGGTGTAGGGTAGCACCGAGCAAGGTAGACATCAGGTGTCATCAGGTGTCATCAGGTGTCCTTTCTATTTACTTCATCTCATTCAGGGGAGTCGGCAATAGCAGCTTGTGAAACAAAGGTGAGAGTAAATGCTATCTATCTATCTATCTATCTATCTATCTATCTATCTATCTATCTATCTATCTATCTATCTATCGATCTATCGATCGATCGATCGATCTTCTATCGATCTCTCGATTTATCTATCTATCTATCTATCTATCTATCTATCTATCTATCTATCTATCTATCTATCTATCTATCCATCTATCTATCTATCTATCTATCTATCTATCTATCTGGATATCGGTCGTAGTTCATGCCGTCTTTTCTTCACCGTCAAGCGAAAACAACAGCATGGCTTCCGTGAACTCCATGCCCAAATGCTCTAACAACAATGGTGAGGTATTCTTCTTTACAAGAATATGCCGAGGGTTTTAAGCATACCCATCATATCTGCAGACTTTCAATCGGGAGTTACAAGTCGTTATTTAGCTGTTTTGATTATGCATCCCAGGAAGTTGAGTTTGTTTCAGAATGCTATCAGGTCTGCTGGGGTAATGGCACTGATTGTGAAGTGCATAGAGCTTGCAGTTGAGCGGGGATTTGCGCAATACAAATGATATCTATTATTATTATTATTATTA